AGCCCATATTTTCGAGCGATGTTCCTCTCAGACATGGAAGAGAGCAAGAAGAGGGAGGTCAGCTTGGAAGACGTGGATCCAGATGTCATGGGTAAGATCCTCCATTACATCTACACCTCTGAGCTGGAGATCACAGAGCAGAACGTGCAGGACATCTTCTCCGTGGCCAACATGTTCCAGATCCCCTCCATCTTCACCGTCTGTGTCTCCTTCTTGCAGAAGCGGCTCTGCCTCAGCAACTGCTTGGCTATCTTCAGGCTGGGCTTGATGCTGGATTGTGCCCGGCTGGCCGTGGCAGCTCGGGATTTCATTTGTGATCGCTTTGCGCTGGTCTCTCGGGATGAGGAGTTCTACCAGCTCTCCCCCGATGAGCTGATTGCCATCATCTCCAGCGACTCCCTCAACATCGAGAAGGAGGAGACTGTCTTCGAAGTAGTGATGAAGTGGGTGGGGACCAAGGAGCAGGAGAGCCGGCAGAAGGCCTTGCCTGTCATCTTTGAAAGCATCCGCTTCCGCCTCATGCCCAACGACTACATCAAGGACCACGTGGAGAAGCACGCCATGGTGAAGTCCAGCCCAGAGCTGCTCAAGAAACTGCAGATGGTGAAGGATGCCCAGAAAGGCAAATTCACTGTGGTGAAGAAGAAGAAAGTGAAGAAAAGCAGTGAAAAGCAGGTGAAAGACAACGTTGTCAATGGAGCAGTAGATGAGGAGGAAGAAGATACAGAGGAGGATGCTCTTCCAGGGATCTTAAATGACACAATGCGCTTCGGGATGTTCCTCCAGGACCTTATTTTCATGGTGAGTGACAGTGGAGCAGTGGCCTATGATCCCACTGCCAACGAGTGCTATTTTGCCTCCCTGTCTACTCAAATCCCAAAGAACCACATCAGCCTGGTGACCAAAGAGAATCAGATCTTCATTGTTGGAGGACTGTACTACAATGAGGACAGCAAGGAGGATCCAATGAGTTCCTACTTCCTACAGGTACCAACTTTATCTTTCTTTTGTTTCTTTGACCACTTTGAAGTATCATCAGTCTTTAGCTTCCATGTGACATTCATTGCCATGTGAGGTTAAAATGGGAGTTGCAAATGAAGGTGAAACATCGGAGTTGCTTAACTAGAGATTCTTCTTTATATATTTTTAAGGCAGAGCCCACTGAGAGGGGCGTGTCTGGTAATTGAGGAAGGAGGCTTGAAAGAGTAGGTAATAGGAATAAACCTTTCTGATCCAAAACCTCAATCAGGGACCACTCTGTTTGGTCCAGCTCTAGCTGCCGCAATAACTGGAACATTAGTGGCATGAGGTCTAGATTCCACTTTGCATCCTTTATGTTCCCTGTTTATGAACCACCAGCAAAACCCAAGGATGATCCCCCCAGCTGCCAGCAAAGGAACAGCAGCAGCTACAGCCACAGAGCAAACACCCCAAGGACACAGGGTATGTCCCTCCCTACCAATATGTGACCAATTTCTGGCATGGTCCTTGCCCCCTGTTCCAGCTCAGAGTCTCTGCCTTGGCCGCGTCCATCATGTTGGGGGGAAACCACGTTATGATGTCTTTTAAGATACTCCACAAGAGAAGTGGCAGTTCTAACTCATCAGTAACCAAAGCTGTGAGCAGATTGATCTGGGTGCAGGCAATCTGAGCCCCAGCTTGGGCTGTAACCCAAGAGCACCTTCCCTGGAGACAGCTAAGGCAAGGCGCCTTTGCTGACCCTGTAGGAACCCAGTAAATCCTCTATTCTTCCTCCCACACCCAGAAATCCATTTGTTCTTCTCCCATGGCTCACATGTCTCTTGGGAAGAAACAATAACACCTCCAGGCAGAAAGGATAAAGTAAGGGTAGTTTCCAAGCTGAGATCCTTTGTTGCACGGGGAGAACTTTACATCAGCAGCATGTGTGCAAGGGCCATGCTGCCCTCACCTGGAAAGGGTCAGGCTTTAGAGACTATGCAGCCCACATGAAGCTTGTGAAAAGTCCTGGGCTGGTCCAGCACGACTGCAGCAAGCAGGTCAAGGGAAGCAATTTTTTTTCTCCCTCTCTTTGGTCACACACTTGGAATGAGTCTATTAGAGGCCACTAAGATGATCAAGGCTGGAGAACAGGAGGTACAAGGAGAGGCTGAGCTGGGTCTGATCAGCCTGAGGAAGGGATAGGGAAGAGCTGCCTAATGGAAGGGGACACAGAAGAGGGATGAAGACTCTTCTCAGATTTGCACAAAGATGGGGCAAGAGGCAATGGCCACCAGTTGCAGTAAGAGAGATCTCAATTAGCTGTGGTGAAAACCCTCCCAGTGGAGGTGGTGAAGTACTGGAGCAGGGGTCCAAGGCGTCACAAAACCTCCATCCTTGGAGACATTTAATACTTGACGGCTCAAAGCCATGGTAACCTGCTCTAAAGCCCAAGCTGCACCTGTCTGAGCATAGGGACAGGATGAAAGACCTGTGGAGAGCTATTTGACCTAAATTATTCCGTGATTCTAAGCTGCAAACAGCAAGATTTCTATACTCGGCTCCCAATTTGCCAGCAACTCAGTAACAAATGCTTTGGGCACTATGTGGCCATTTTTAGCTCCTTCTCCACAAGAAGGGGACAGTGGTCCCTTCACAGCTCGTTGTGGCATCCCTGCATGGGAGGTGTGGACAAGTCCCAGGGCTGGAAGGTGCCATCAGTTTGCAAAGGTGTAATTTATTGCCATCAGCCGCCATCACATAGCTCACAGTTTCTGTATGACTAGGAGAGTATTTTGAGCCTTTTTTTTTGTCATCTGGAACTTCACACAGACGTAGACAGGCAGCTGTACGACAGGCTCTTGAATCATAGAGTCACAGAATGACGGGGTGGAAGGGACCTCAAAAGATCATCCACTGCAGCCCCCCTGCCAGAGCAGGATCACCTCGAGTAGGTCACACAGGAACACATCCAGACAGGTTTTGAAAGTCTCCAGAGAATGAGACTCCCCACCCTCCCTGGGCAGCCTGTGCCAGGGCTCTGTCACCCTCACAGGGAGAAAGATTTTTCTAATGGTTTTGTGGAACCGCCTATGTTCCAGCTTGTACCCATTGCCCCTTGTCCTGTCACTGGACATCACTGGCTCTGTCCTCCTGAAACTCATCCTTTACATATTTATAAACACTAAAGACATCACCCTTCAGTCTCCTCTGAGCTAAAGAGACCCAGCTCCTCCAGCCTTTCCTCATCAGAGAGATCACCGTGTCAGTGCAGCAGCAACCTTCCATCTGTTTCTGGCCTCCTTGATTTCACATTCCCCCTGCTAAAGGCAGGAGAGTTAGGTCAGGGATTGTTTAGACTTAAGGACAAACACCAAAGCATGAGAATACTAATAAATCCCAGAGGCCTCACAAGTTTTGTCAGAAAAAAATGATCCCATTGACACTTCAGATGGAAAAGGGTATCCTTTATATGTCACTTCAAAAATTTATGGCTTGAAAACAAGGCTGAATCCATAAAGAAGCAGGAACTATCCTGTTGACTTTGCTGCTCAGGCTTGCACTATAAATAACACACATGTGGACCATGGCTTACAAAGAGACAATAACCACAGGCACCCAGCTGAGGCCAACTCTTTGGAGACACCCCAGCGAGCTGAAGCTCTTTGGCCCAAGCCCACAGCAAACAGAGCTTCAGGCAAAGCTGCATCGTCTTGCAGAGTCCCACCAAACGGGCTGTAAGACATCACTCCCTCCTCTGCTACCAAGCTACACTAAATATTTTTGCCCCAGTTTACAGTTCCCGTCGAGCCATGGTAGCCAGAGAGCCTCCAGGCTCATAGTCATCACATCCTTTCCTTTCTGGTGGGAAATGAGGCAATGCCTTGATCTACAGACATCCAAGGATCTGGAGGGTTTGGCCACCTGATTTAGTAGTGCTGTGTGGGTCGGTTTTTCCATCTAGGAGGTGGGTCTGGCACACTTTGGCCAGCACAGTCTCAGCACCGTCTCAGTTGTGTTGTACTGGATTGGGTAGGTGGGTATTGTGTAAACAGCCTTTGTGCAGATGGACACACGGGTGTGTCATCTCACAAACTCTCACGCACACTGGGGTGGTACAGGACAGCATCAGTATCTTGGGAAGCAGAGAGGGAACACAGAAACTGATTATTAGCCAGAAAGAAGGATTGGTGGTAAAAGGAGTGATCTGTGTAGCCAAAATTGCCAACACCACACTGTTACCTGGAAGAGACAGAAAAAATCTGGATGAAATACTGTGGCATGTGCTATATCTGAAGAGATTTGGGCAAAATTTCTAAGATACAAGTGCTTTCACTCCTCTAGTCCCAGGAACTATCTATTATAGGTCCAACAGAGGACTTTTTCATCTGAAGATGACCGAGCTTATTCCAAGTTAACGCCTTGGGGCAGAGAAGAACATGTTCATGTTGGCCCTTCTCTGCTCTTTTGCCTTATTATAAAACATACATCAGATGATACATGACTTGGGCTTGCACTAAGATTTCCCATCCTGCACCAGATGGCAAGGCACAGGCAGATGTCAGCATTGCCGAAAGTGTCTACTGGGGTGACCAAGCTGCACCTGGGAGTGGACTTTGCCCTCAGCTAAGCAAATGGGCTGGCTGAGCACACACTAATGGCCATGTGTTTCCTTTCAGTACGACCATCTGGATGCAGACTGGCTGGGAATGCCCCCCCTGCCCTCCCCTCGCTGCCTCTTTGGCCTGGGAGAGGCGGAAAACTCTATTTTCGTGGTCGGAGGGAAAGAACTCAAAGAGGGCGAGAAGACCTTGGATTCAGTCCTGTGCTACGACCGGCTGTGAGTGTTCACGTGGGAGTGCGGGGCGGGACATGGTTTGCAAGAGAAGGTGAAGCAGCTACCATGCAAAATGACTGCACCTCTCCAGGACCAGAAAGGTTTTGGTGACGGGGCTTGAACTCTGCATCTAGATGCTGGGACCACTGGGACGGTCTCAAGCTGTGCCCTGGGGCTCAGAGCTGTCTCTCTCCAGCTGCTTCCTTTATTGTAATTGAGCCTCCCGGAGATGGGAGCCTTAACGGGGATATTACCAGTGGCCTAACTTAGTGGATGCTTATCTGAGACCTGCAAAGAGGAGAAAGAGGAGTTTTACCTTCTGGTCTTGCCCGTTAGTTGGAGGTTCAGCGACATTCGCTGTGGTCTCACCAGGAGAGGCTTTGAACAGGAAAGCTGGGTTTGAAAATATTCAGATGTGGCATTGAATGTCTTGTCCTGATTGATTTCAGGCTTAATGTCCAATTATTATTGGATGATGGGTTCTGGCCCAGGTTAGGTCAGAAGCATTATTAAAAAGCACCATCCTGTCCTGCTCACAGGAGACAGAAACATCCAAAGACTGCTGCTCTTGGCCCCAGAGAGGTAGAGCAGTAGGCATTAACGAGCCTTTGCTCAGTCTATATTTAGAGGCGTGTGCTTCAGAGTCTGTTCTACAGGCAGAGATTCGAAACCAGTTTCATTCCCACAGAATGGGGCATTTATCCGCCCCTGCAGATAAATGGGAGAAGACGTGTCTGCCCCCACTAAGTGCTCGGGGGTGGTTTGAATACCAATATGAAGCTGGTAGAGATGCAATCAGCACCGCTTGTACTTCTAGCATTATGTAGGTCAAGATTTCAACTGTAACAAACCCGGAGAGAGCAAACTGCTGGTCAATGGGATCAAATATTTGCCCAGAGCGGTTGGGCAATTAGGAAGTGTTCTTAGGTAAAGTCCAGGTCTTGGGGGCTATATCCTACGTGTAGGAAAACTGGGGACGAGTCTAAGCTAAATGCACATGAACAGGTACATCTTGAGAAATTGGTCAGCCCTACTTGGGTATCGCTTTGGGATTCCAAAGCCTTATAGGTACATCCTCTTCTCACCTGCCCCAGAGCTGGCTTGGAGGCTTCAACACAGCCCTGCACTGCAAAACACGGGGATGCCCACCCCCGTTGGTCTTACTGAGTGTTGGCCAACCGAAGCAGCTCAAAGTGGAAGGTGACAGTGAAAAAACAAATTTATCCTCAGGATCTTACACCCCTAAGTCTCATTAGTTTGAAGTTTTTTCCGTCATGCAGAAATCTGTCTCGTAAGCTGGTAATGCTTGTGAATGAGGTGAGGCCCTGGGAGATGTGGGGCTCACCAAGCCCAAGAGTAGGGCAGAAAGTAATGAATAGTGTCATAAACATTCTGCATATTGTATTTTCCCCTTTTTTGAGGGGGTCACAAAACTTACTGGATGTGTCCTATGTCACTGAAAAACTCATAGTTTTGAGATTGAGTCAGGGTTTGTGCTCAAATCTAGGTCTGGAGCATGTCATATACTCCAGGTCTCACCCAGTAAGTGACAAATCCCTTTGCTTCCCGTCTTTCTCTGATCCAGGTCCTTCAAGTGGGGCGAAGCTGATTCCCTTCCCTACGCAGTCTACGGGCACGCGGTGGTATCACATAACGATCTCGTCTACGTCATCGGTGGCAAAGGAAATGACAAGTGAGTCAAAAAGCAAGAGAAATTCAGGGAGTCATTCTCCCAAATTAGTGGGACTGCAGAGCACAAGTTGGAGAAAAGAAACCTCCTGGGGAAAGGAGGTTGTAGCGAGGTGGGGGTTGGTCTCTTCTCCCATGTAATAAGCAACACAGGGATGAGAAGAAATGGACTAAAGCTGCACCAGAAAAGGTTTAGATTGGACATTAGGAAAAATTTCTTCACTGAAAGGGTTGTCAGGCATTGGAACAGGCTGCCCAGGGAGGTGGTGGAGTCACCATCCCTGGAAGTATTTAGATGTGTGGATGTGGTGCTTAGGAACACAGCTTAGTAGTGGACCTGGCGTTGCTAGGTTAACGGTTTGACTTAATGATGCCGAAGGTCTTTTCCAACCTAAATGATTCTTCTACGATTCTACGATCCCCCCTCGCTCACGACAAATAAATGTCACCCAGATTGGGAGAGACACTGAAGAGCATGAAGCCCCTTCGCATTAAGAATCTCCTGCCCTGGACTCGTTGTGGAGCGTAGTGGTTAAATCCAGATGGCTCTTTGCAACAGGATTGAAAAACCTCATCAAACCTGACCCCTGCCCTTCTCTCCCATGGGAGATGGGCTCAGCAGAAAAGGCCTCTCTCGGGGAGCATTGCAGCAATCGCTTTGCAAGGCTGAAGCGTGGCTGTTTGCAGAGCAAACGGGCCATAATCCAGCCAAGACAGGTCTTGTTCTGGAAGGATTACGGTCTGAAAAGCACGAGCGTGCACACATTCACACACCTCACACTGCCATCCCAGGGAACAGGGACGTTACTGATGGTATTTTGCAGCATCAGGTTGGACCAGGAGCTCTGAAATGCTCTCTGATGGCTGTGTGCAAGGTGCTGAGAAGCAGCTGCCTGGGTGGACCCATGTTCAGCTGCATGAAATCCACGCCAAGCTTTTAGGACTCCCATCCAAAGTGTGGGTACAGCAGGAGGGGAAATGTTCTAAACCCAAATGATGTCTCCAGGCATGGGCATCCGTGCAAAGCAAAGGCATTCATGCTGATGTGGAGGGGCACAATCCTACCTAGATATCCACATTCTGGTGTCCCCAAAATCCTGCAGCATGAAGCTGCCCCTTGGCAAGCAATTGAAGCTCATTTTTTTCCTCTCATCTTTCTCTAGGAAGTGTCTGAAGAAGATGTGTGTCTACAACCCATCCAAGTTTGAGTGGAAGGAGTTGGCTCCCATGAAAACTGCCCGATCCTTGTTCGGAGCCACTGTGCACAAGGACAAAATCTATGTGGCGGCTGGTGTGACCGACTCTGGCTTGACCAACTCGGTGGAAGTCTATGACATTGCCACCAACAAGTATGTACCTGAGAACACCTTCCTGCCTTAGTTATACAAGAAGCATTTTAAAGATGTACAATGAGCAGCTTCCACCCATTCTGGAGTTTGCTTTCAACTCTCAATACCCGTTCCTTGTGGTCTGTATTTCTTGGACAGCTGGGCATCACTAATGCCATTGAGGTGGCATCATCTCAGGCTCATCTTCAAAGCGGGTTCTGCTGCTGGTGTGGTCTTTTGGTTCCCTGCAGGGCTGTACCTTCATCTGGGCAGCTCCACCCAACACGATAGACTCTCTGACTCTGGGTGGGCATTGCAGCTGCAGTCCCACCCTTGGGACCTGTTGGTCCATGTCACGTGTGCTTCACAGCTCATCTACTCAATGCAAGATGAAGTTGCACTATGACGATGGAAACAGATGTCTCTAACAGTCCATCTATGATCCCATCCCATATAGACCTGCACAAGTTAAACTGTCATTAGTTAATTCAGTTGCGTGGGGGGAAGGCAGGGTGCCCTAACATCTCCTCTCTCTCAATGTGGCAGGTGGGACACCTTCACCGAGTTCCCGCAGGAGCGCAGCTCGGTCAGCCTGGTGAGCTTGGCTGGGGTGCTCTACCTGCTCGGAGGGTTCGCCACGGTGGAGACGGAGTCGGGAGAACTGGTGCCGACAGAGCTGAACGACGTTTGGAGGTGATGATCTTCCCCGGGGCTGTCCAAAGGAGCGTGGCAGAGATGTTAGTGAGACCCACTGAGGGAGCAGATAGTTTCTGCCTTTCTTGATGCCTTCAGTGCGAGATGGGTGTTGTGAGCCCAGCGCAACGCTGCGAGAAGTTTGCCTTGTGCTGTGCTGGAGGGCACATTAGGTGATTCAGTGATCTCTCCCAGCCTCATCCAGGGAGAATCTGCCGCTTGAGCTCTGTTGCTGTGCTGATATTTTTCCTGGAGCTGGTTCCAGACCTCCCCTTCTGTGTGAAGCAGCATTTGTGCCATGAATCCTCTCCCTGGGAAGAGCCAGCACTTGGGCTGGAAGTCAGATAGTCTGACATGTGAGCAGAGAAGTGGGCAGAAAGCAGTTTCTGACGGCTGCTAATAGAGCAGTAGCTTCTCCCGTCCTTCACTTCTGCGGCTCTAGAGCACCCTCAGCAGGCACCTACTGCCCTTCACCATGGATATTCAGCCTTGGTGCCACCAACCTGTTTCCTAATGGAAAAATACACTCTCCCCTGCAAGACCACATCCTGATGATCTCCATGTCCCCTGGCCTGGCGCTGCAAACCCGGGTGAAAGTCCCCAAGCTGCTCCCCCAGACACCTCGTGGCCAGATAAAGTCTGCAGGGCATCACACCATGCGTCAGGGCCCCCAGCGCTATGGAGAGCAGCTGAAGCGAGGGAGAGGAGACGCTTTGCTCACCATCCCTGTCTGTCTGTCTCTCCCCAGGTACGATGAAGAGCAGAAGAAGTGGGAAGGGGTCCTCCGGGAGATCCAGTACGCCTCCGGCGCCACTTTCCTTCCCGTGCGCCTCAACGTTTTGCGCCTAACGAAGATGTAGCGAGGCGTGATTTTTTTTAATATTTTTTTTTTTCCGTGGGGGTCTAGGGGCAAGGAGGGATGAGGGAAGATGAGGCCAAGCTTATCATCACAGAGCTGGTGTCTGGGTACGGTGTAGGACAATGCATCTGTGATTGGCACCTTCTTACCTAGTCAAATGGGAAAGGCAGGGGAGCACTGTCTGGAAGCTCTGTGGGAACATGAAGATGCTCACAAGATAACTAAAGAAGGGATTTGGAGCCTGCAAGGAGCTGAGGTTAACTGAGAAGCATGAAACAAAGAGCTCAATAGCCAAAACAAAAAGATCATACACTTGTTCTGCTTCTTTCTCTGTTTTTCCCCATCTTTGCAACTGCTGTTGAACTTCCCCAACCAACAGTGGAGGCAGAAAGTGGATCCCAAGGGACTAAGTTGATATTCCCCAAGATAAGAGGGGTCTATAAAATATTTCCCCACCCACGGTAGCTGAGAGCGTGGTGCTAGAGCCCACCTTGGCGAGGGAAAGGAAGGGTCGGAGTCAAGTGGTGCAGGAGAGACCTGGGGGGACTTTGATGAATTCCCGAGCAATGAGGGTTGTTGGGATGAGACAGATGAAAGAGAAAAGCATGTGAGCATGGGCAGCAGAAACGCTTTGGAAGGTCAATGAAAAGAAAGTCTTAGTTCTTCACCTCCAGCTTGAGTTTGGAGAGAAGAGAGGCCAGAAGCTCAGGTCTGCGGGAGGGGAAGTCATGGAAGCAGCAGGGCAGGAAAGTGGGGAGAGGTGGGCAGGGGACACCACGTGCACTCGTCTCCCATCACAGATCGCAATGTCCTCACCTATGGCTGGCTAAGTGATATTTTTCAGGGAAAATTTTTATATTTATGCTGTTTCTCTTTTTTTTTTTAATGTTCTGACTGTTTGGTTGTTTGGTTTTTTTAAAAGAGTATTCTAGTTAACGTGGAGATCTCAAACGTTTGGCTCAAAGAGAGCTTCCTACTGAGGGAAAATGCATTTTGGTGGTTTCTTTAAGTTATCCATAATGATGTTTTGATAGAAACATGACTGTTCTGGCAGCAGGACAGAGATCTGCTAGAACAAAAAAATCTCCTGATGCCCACACCATCTGACCAGTGGATTATAAAACAAAAAAAATAAAAAATAACTAGGCTATTTCAAAAGAAATCCTGTGTTTGCATGTTGATAGAGCTGTAACTGGATGTCCACAGCAACCGAATGCATGGACCAAGCAAAAGCTGAGACAACACACACAGCAAACCAGCCCCATGGGGAGTCCTAGCAGAGCCCCAGATTTTATTCTTCTTATTTTCCTCCATTCAGGAGCTGAAACTTCAGCATTCATGTCCTTCCAGCTCTTCTCCACAGATAGGAGGACTGGAAGTTTCGCTAGGACTAGAAGGAAGCTGTATGTCTACATGAACAGGGGCGAAAATCAATAATAATAATAAAAGAGAACAAATACAAACCTTGCAAAGTAACACCCTCAAGGTGGCATGAAAATTATGGTATAAAAAGTCATATCTGGCTGATTTTTCTAGCTCACAAACTAGAATATGTTTAGAAGGAAAAACAATTTAGCATGAGTCAAGGAACCAGAGTCTTGTCCTGGTTTTGTTTTAACGATTTTAAAAGTTACAGGATAATCTCCTTAGGGGACAATCACACCAGAACGGTAATGCAATATTTTCACAAGAAAAATAAATCTAAGGTGACTGGCTGTCACGAAATAGCTCAGTAATAATTAAAAAAAAAGCAAAAAAACCTTTGAAACAATCAAATGTGTGAAAAATGTGTTGAAAAAAAAAAATTCACCTTCCGCCCAGTTCTGAAAAAATTCCTGTGGGCGACTCCCAAACTCATTGAAAATGAATCTGCCAAATGTCGAATAGCTTGTGGCAGAACAGAAAAATGCAGAACAAAAATAATCCATGCACAGGTAACCATTTTTTTCAAGCCATACATTGTGGTGGCAGGATATCACCTCCCGCCTGGGCTGAGCCACCACCAGCTCTGCTTCAGCTCTTCTAGCTGGAAAGCTGTGCCCGCTTGATCCTAAGAGAGGGTTCATCTCCATCTCCCTGCCACCTGGCTTGGTTGGTGCTCCTAGGGCAAAATTGGGCCCTTTGAGGTCAACGAGGACCGTAGCTGAGCCGCGATGAGTTGTGATGGTGTGGTTCTTCAAGAAGAGGCAATTAAAACTGGTTCCCATCACCTCCCGGCTCTCCATCAGCAACACAGTTAATCGGAGCTTAGTGCTCCCACGTGGCTCACATCCATTGTAAAGCTGTGGGAGATGCCACCACTGGCACAGGGCAAGAAATCATAAGAGGAAAAATTGCTTTTGTATAAAAAGGAGCTTGAAATATCCCAGGGTTTTCCCCAAGGAGGTTGTGGAGTCTCCTTCTCTGGAGACATTCAAAACTTGGCTCGAGGCGTTCCTGTGCGATCTACTGTAGATGACCGTGCTTTGGCAGGGGGGCTGGACTAGATGATCTTTCGAGGTCCCTTCCAACCCCTGACATTCTGTGATTCTGTGATATCCCATTGCTTGAGCAATGAGGGCCAAATCTCAGTGCGTGCAAGCCAGCGTTGGCACAAGGAAAGCAGCAAAGTTGCACAACCTCAAGGGAAAGCCTGGCCTGGAGACGCTCACCACCTCCTTGCCATGAAGCTACTTCCGTCCAAAGGCAGTCACAGATAAGAAATACCAGCGTGAATACTCAGAGACTTGTCACTCCTTGCTGCTGCCTGTTTCTTTCCCAGCTCAGATGCACACAGCTCATGGCACAGGTCCCTCCAAGGGCGTCTTTTCCAGAGGCAAAGGAGTATGGACAGCCCAAGGGTGGGGGAAAATCATCTCTCCTTCCATCCGCTTCTCGATATCAGCGCTGATGGTAGTTGGTGAGGTTCCCACTGCTCCATTTTAAATGAGTAAAGGCACCGTGTGCTTTAGGATGGGCTCCTTGGTTTCTACAGAGGAGCTCAGAGAGCCCCAGCTCACAGCTCACACAAACCTCATGGGTCAAGAAGAACCCAGCTCAGTCCTCAGCCCCACAACAGCCCCAGGGCTGTGAGCACTGAGCCCCTTCATCATCCACTCATCACCTTTTCCTGAAAAGCTGGTTTTTTTGTTGGCCCCACAACAGCCTAGTTGTCTCACACACACACACGTCTCCTACCAAACCCAACGCAAAGTCTACGCGCATGAAGCAACGGCAGCGGTCAACATGCCATGGGAAGCCCATCCTGCTGGGTTCCGATTCCTCATGCAATTGCCTAAGTGCAGCCTTCAAAAAAAAAAAAAGAAAAAAAAGGAAAAAAATTTAAAAAATAATGTAACAAAGAAAGGGTGGAGCTTTGGGTTTTCTTTTATAAAAGACAAATCGTTTATTGATTCAGTCCTTCCACTTGCAACCTCTTTGGTAACAGTCATAACGCTTCCAGACTGGGAGAACGCAGTGGAAAGGCCCAATTCTGACCTCTCACCACTTTCGGAGCTCAGAGACCCCTGAACGTGCTTTGGTGAGAGGCCAAAAGCAGGTTTCAAAGTACGACCAAGGACCTGGCCTCTAGGGACAACTCAAACCAGCCTTCCGTGACTCGTCTTGCTCATGGGTGACCCGTAACAGTCATAACGCTTCCAGACTGGGAGAACGCAGTGGAAAGGCCCAATTCTGACCTCTCACCACTTTCGGAGCTCAGAGACCCCTGAACGTGCTTTGGTGAGAGGCCAAAAGCAGGTTTCAAAGTACGACCAAGGACCTGGCCTCTAGGGACAACTCAAACCAGCCTTCCGTGACTCGTCTTGCTCATGGGTGACCCAGAGAACAGCCCTGGCATCCCTGGGCAGCAGATGGCTCGGGATGGGGATGTGTTGGGCCCTTGGTGTCAAGGCTGACCGTGAGCTGCAGCTTTGATGCACCTCTTGGGACCTCCTGGACATTGGCCAACAGGGCCCGTCAACAGAGCAAGCCTCGCCCGTTCCTGCGGTAGGCAACGACTTGTCCCAGTTGGCCCCATGCTGATGGACTAACCCGACCATCTCAGCCTCCCCTCCTCACATCGTCCCAAAGAGAGTAACTGCTGTACTTGGAGTTAAAGATAAACATATATTGATT